TTTTCTACGCTTGAAAAATTATTTAAAGAAGCTTTTCCGAAGGATACCTATCTAAATGTTTCTAGAGCCATTCAGAAGCTGGTTCAAAATATGATTACATCAGGAGAAGGTGTAGGTATAGTCTCCTCCTTCTTTACCTTGGACATTATGTGCAAAATGGACTGTGACACAGCAAAGTGCGTGTTTTATGATGCGCTTCTGGAATTAGAACGAGCCATGCGGCAAGACGTTTGTTTTACAGAGCAGATTAAGTACGCATCTAAAGAAGCAAAGGAGGGGAAAAAATCCCTTGAAGCGACCAACGCGGAGAAATATCGCCTCCATTCTGCTGCAAAGGAATTTGCTTTTCGTTTACTCGCAAACAAGGTGTCCCCAGATGAAACCTCGTTTGCAGTACTTCATGATAAACAGGAGCAAATTGATGCGGCATTGAACGCATGGGAAAGTAACAGCCTACAATTGAAGGAATCTATTGCGAATGCTGCCCACTGTTGGGCTCAAGATGCTGAAAGAAATTTTTGTGAAACACGATCAAAAGTTTCTGCGGTTCTTGATTCTGGAGTCCGTGCAGCCTTGTTGCTGCAAGCAGCACGACCTCAACTTCCTTCGCTTCCTTTGGCCTCAGGTGAACTTCAGTTTCTAATCCCTGGGGGATCTCCTGGGGGCGACCTACTGTATTTCGACGCCGAGCCAGTTACAGAGGAGTGGAAGATATCCAAAAAATTGATCACCCTGAGCTGTGAAACGCCATTAAGCAAGGAGGAACAACAGCAGCTTATTCATACACTCTCATCGGGTGATGTGTTTAATCGGCTTGGAATAAACATTGAATTGCTCAGTCGTGTCGCTATTCACAATCCAGATGTAAGTGCTGCTTTAATATTGAGACTTCCTCCCCAGGAGGGAAGTCAATGTATTCAGCATATACTGAAAAGCTCTGTTTCCCCCGAGCACGCCGAAACGGTCCTTTTACATGCATCAAAGGCATTGCAACAAATCAACCTTCGCGCCTACATCAGCGGGAAACTTCAACTTTTTAAGGAGAAAACATCTTTGTCTTCTAGTGATAAAGACTCAATAAAAAACTTTATCATGACTCTTCATCAGTTGGTAACTAAGGCTTCAAAAGAGAACAAGGAGATGTATATTGCGGAAGCGTTGAAGAGTGACATTACTCACTTGTGTGAGAGGTGTGATCTCCCAGAAGTAAGTGCGAGGTGGGAAGAACTGAAGTAATGCGCTTACACTGTAATGAGATAAGAAGCATTTCCCCTTATCATTAGCTGAAAGAGTAGGGGTATATTTATTTCTATCTATACATAATTTTGTATTCTGATGTTGTTGTTTGTTTTGTTTGTTCTCCATCTGACTTGAGTCTTGCCCCATGAATGTGTATTGACCTTTCTGTCAAACAATGCCTGCTCATTAGTTGGATCTGTTTATTAGTCTTTTTTTTTTTTACTTCTCCTAATTATTATTGTATTACTTGTTCCTGTTACCCTCAGCGTTCCAACAATTGTGTAAAGAAGGTATTCCCACACCCGGTGAAAGCAACAGAAAGGTATAACGGTCACCTTACCAGATAATCGCTTCCTTACGCTAGGTGGCATTGTTTTATTGACTATGTATGGCGACTCGGAGTATGTCAGTTTTACATATATTACGCCTACTAGAACGCTCCCATGTAAAAAGGTAGAGGAGCAACGGTTGTCATCAAAGAAGAAGCATGTTATTGCCTTAGGCACATTATCAGATAGTAGAACTAGTAGTAGTAGTAGTAGTAGTAGTAGTGGCGGTGGTGGCGTTTGTGTTGGTGGGGGCTCGACCCAATTGACGCCTTCTTCAAAAGGCATTGGAGCCACGCTATATGTTAGATTTTTTGACACGCTCAGAAAGATGACCAGGACACAATGCTTTTCTATGCGTCCAAACTCAACTATGAAGTATGTCTATGAAATTATTCATGCATGGCTCCCCGAGGCGGGAAATTTAGTCTGTTATACCGTGTACAGCGAGACTCATGGAGTGCTGTATCCATTGGTTAATAAAGTGCTTCATCTCGACGATGACGTGCCAAGACTTGTTTTTTGTCAAGAGGTGCTTTGCCCTTTCCATAAGCTGACAAATCGCTGGGGGGTAGTTAATGTCGTTGTACTGCAGCATCACGGATCTCTTCTTCCTGGGTACATACCTTTAATAGTGCACCGATCATCACTGCAATCCAGAGAAACATTACAGGAGCAGCTGCGTCAGCTTTGTTGTACCTCCCCTGCGGAGGCCAATTATATGAAATCACAACTCTTCCTCAACTGTGCCGTTTCTGCCGGACTTATGGATTTGTTCTCTTTTTTTGACGCATGTAACGACGACTCCACGTCCCTTCCTCAGATTGCTGTAGTTTACCCTGCCTTGGCGCCAGGGGATTTAGTGCGTGTGGAGATGATGGACCGAATGAGTCGAAGGTTTAGCATCCAAGGTATGATTAAATGCAGTCGGCAAAAAGACGGTGTACTCTGCTATGACGTGGAAGAAATGGCGGTGGGCTGTGTCTTCGAGGGGTTGACATGTGTTCAAGTGTTACCTTTGTAACCATTCTATAAATTTCTTTACCTCAACACACGCTCTATGTTCTTTATTCGCGGTGCATTGACGGTGTTGAATTTTTATCCTTTTTTTTCCTGATTATTTTCTGGTCTTTTCCTTTTTATCCGTCCACTTCTTTATATGCTGACTGGCAAACCTGCATTTGCCCTTTTCCGTTTCTGTTTCTGATTCTGCTTCTTGCTTGTTCAGGGAAATTCAGCGAGAAAAAGGAGACATGGACCACAAGTCGTGGTCTCTGCCCGTAAAACGGGTTCCAGTTGCAGAGAAGCTTGATCGCTCCGTGATATGGAACAATGCTCGCCTGTGTTATGAGCAACGATTGTTTGGCCAGGTGACTTGTGTCAGGTACAACAATGCCGGGACGACCGTGGGATGCACCTCGACGAATCAACTCACACTCTTGCGAGTACCCCAGACGGAAGGTGTGATCGCCAATGAGCAGCGTGAAAGAAAGTGTTTTTCTCTTCGATTTCGGGATGATGACAAAATGGCTCTATTCGCTTTTAACCAGCGCGTTGTTGTTAGATCCACTCAAACTGCCTTCGAGCGGCAATTTTTGGGTCATGTTAGGGAAGTCAGGGACGCTATATTTCTGGATCGGCACAACTTTGTCTCGGGTAGCGATGACACGACTGTAAGGCTTTGGGATATCATGAACGAAAATGCGCTGCTTGTCGGTAAAACGCATACCGACTACGTTCGATGCCTGGAGAATTACTCGCCAGGTTGCTTCTTTAGTGGTTCCTACGATCACACCATTAATTTATGGGACACACGAGTTGGTTTTGAGCACCCCGTTCAATCCAGTGAGCGTCGCATTGGAAGTCCTGTAGAGGCAATGCTGCACACTCATGCACACACGCTGACTTGCACGGCGGGAGATCAAGTCCTATTGTTCGACATGCGTAAGGGTCTTTCTACGGTCTTATTGCAGGAATCACACCATACAAAGTCGGTGGTGGCCCTTGCATTTTCAAAGGGAAATAATGTGCTTCTCACGGGGTCACTCGATCAACGTGTCAAGATTTTCTCCCTGGAGAATGGGGGGCTGGAGCTGCTTGCGAGCAAAAAGTATGATGCACCAGTGACTGCCGTGGCGGTTCATCCACGTTCATCTGAGTTTGCCGTCGGCACTGCAGGGGGGGATCTTCGTATCATGAGGCTTGAGGGCGCCTTTGACCAAAAAGGGGAAGAAGAGGAGGAGGAAGGCGTGGTGGTGGAGGCGAGATTCGAAGGCAAAGAGGAAAATAAACAAAACGACGTTTTGAGCACGAAGATGCATGATGTGCGGCAGCAACTTGTGTCGTACCAGTACAATCGGGCCCTAAAGACAGCTCTCTATTCTCGTAACCCGGACGTTATTGCGTCTACGCTGGAGGAACTTGTCCGTCGTGGTGCCCTACACGTGGCCTTGAGTGGCCAGAACGACCGAACAATTGTGCGCATCCTTCGCTTTTCGGTAAACCATCTTGATTCCCCTCAGTTTTGTGAGTCAATGATGATTGTGCTCGACGTCATCTTTGAAATTTATGCAACGTGTGTGGGAAAGAGTAGCTTCCTTTACAGAGAAATGATGATTGCGCGTCTACGCTTGGGAGCTGTCCTCGCGACTCTTCAGCGAATGGAGCACACCTTGAGCATAATGGAGCTAATAGTAAACGACGTGTAAGCCTCTTATTTTATCTAAGCAAGAGTGAAGAAGAGAACGCGGGTGACATGGGGGATACGGTTGCGCACTGTAGGACCAATGTCCAGAACAGATAAAAATAAATGGATGTTCTTTTATTTTGCCTTTTTCTTCGTCTCTCACGGGTGTCGTTGTCATCACAAAGGTTGAAAAAGCACTGGTTGAAAGTGAAAAAGTGAGGCTATCATCGGAAACAAGGAGGAAAAGTTTACATAAAAAGGACCATCATGTTCCGTCGTGTGACTGTTGCGCCGTTGCGGGACTGCATCTCACGCCGAGCTTTCTGCAAAACTGCGATGCTTTTTAACTTGGACTACCAGGGATATAAGACGGCCACGGTGCGTGAGGCGGCGCCTGAGTGGGCTGGCAAAGCTGTGGTGAATGGACGCATAAAGGACATCAGCTTCAATGACTACAAGGGCAAATACGTTGTTCTTCTTTTTTATCCCATGGATTTCACCTTTGTGTGCCCCACAGAAATCACGGCCTTTTCAGATGCTCAAGCAGAATTTGATAAGCTCAACACCCAGGTGGTGGCGGTATCATGCGACAGCCAATACTCGCATCTCGCCTGGATCGAAACTCCGAGAAAACGCGGCGGCCTTGGAGAAATGAAGATTCCCGTGCTTTCGGACCTCACGAAGGAAATAGCCCGCGACTATGGGGTTTTGATCGAGGAGCAAGGGGTCCCTCTGCGCGGACTGTTCATCATTGACGACAAGGGAATTCTTCGCCACATCACGGTGAATGATCTACCCGTCGGCCGAAGTGTCGAAGAAGTGCTTCGGGTTGTGCAAGCGTTTCAGTACGCTGACAAGAATGGGGATGTGATTCCATGCAACTGGAAGCCAGGCAAACCGACAATGAAGCCCGAAAAGGCAAATGAATATTTTGAGAAGAATAATTAAGCGCGTGCGGTGTGAAGGGAGGTTTTTGCTTTACTATATTCGTTTTGTTTTTGTTTTTGTTTTTGTTTTTCCCTTAGCAATTGGTAGACTTTGTGTGCGCGTGAGTGTCGTCCCGCCTGTTGTTCCCATTTTTCAGGCGCATGGTCCCGCATCCTGATCGGTGCGTTGGTGGGTTCTTCAGGCAGTGGTGTGCTTGACCTTTTCAGCTTTTGGCGGCTTCTTTGTTTAAGCGGAAGTAGCTGAGTGGCCGCTGCGTGCCTGCGAGCGCTCGAGTTCACCACACTGCTTTTGGGCTCGGGGGCGGTGTGACGGTGCGTGAAACTACTTTTTTTTTCTTATTTGCTGGTTTTCTCCGAAAGAGGAAGAGAGGATGTCTAAAATAAGTGTCCCGCCGAAGGTCGAGCGCCGTGGGGGGATTCCGGTCGAGGGGTCCCGTAACCCGCGGGTCTTCTTTGAGATATCCATCGACAACAAGCCAACCGGGCGGATAACCATGGAACTCTACGCGGACGCGGTGCCCAAGACCGCCGAGAATTTTCGGGCCCTTTGCACTGGCGAAAAGGGCCGCGGCAAGGGTGGGAAGCCGCTCCACTACAAGGGCTGTGTGTTTCACCGTGTCATACCGGGATTCATGATTCAAGGCGGTGACATTACGCGGGGAAATGGCACTGGCGGGGAGTCCATCTACGGCGTTAAATTTCGTGATGAGAGCTTTTCCGGCAAGGCCGGCAAACACACGGGGCTTGGCTGCCTATCGATGGCGAATGCCGGCCCCAACACAAACGGATCGCAATTTTTTATCTGCACCGCCAACACCCCGTGGTTGAACGGCAAGCACGTTGTTTTTGGCCGCGTCACGGAGGGTCTTGACGTCGTGAAGAAGGTGGAACGGCTGGGCTCAGAGTCTGGAAAGACGCGCGGCCGAATAGTTATTGCCGACTGTGGTGAGGTTGCGGCGCCGGAGGCGAAGGAGAAGCCAACCAAAGAGAGGGACGAGGTGAAGAGGGGTGCGGCCGCCGCAAAGGCCGAGGCCTCTGCGAAGAAGCGCCCACGCGAGGAGGAGCAACACGCGGAGGAGGTAAAGAAGCGCATTCAGGCAAAGAAGGCAAAAATTGCTCGGCTTCGCGAACAGCTGGAGAAGTAATCCGTGAAAGCCAGTCGGACCTACTGCGTCTAACAAAGCGTAACTGAGCAGACGGCAGCTGACGTCTATTAAGAACGAAGAATAACCCGCCCCTTACCCTGTTGCTCCCGTCGCAGATGACTCTCGCACAGGAGCGAAGAGCAAACAACAACAACAACAACAACACACACACACACACACACACACAACCACATAAACACTTCTTTTGCCACCTCTTCGTCTTGGTTCCCACTCTCTTTGCTTTCCATAACATTTAGCGATCAGGATGCGTAGCAGGGGAGGCGGCCTGCTTTGCCCCACTCTCATGTGTAGCATGCCATTTGTAGGCGTGGGATCGACTCGGCTGATTGCACGCCAGCAGAGGGAGCCGCAGAGGGTGGGCGGTCCAACGACACTGCTGGGGGGAGGTCACGGGGAGCACGCCAGCCGCAGTGGTACTTCTGACGCAGTCCAGCTTGGGGAGAGTGATGACCGCCGCGGGGAAGAGTTGCGAATGCTGGCACTTCTAAAAGAGCAGGAGCAGCGTCGAATAGCCCGCCGAGAGGCTTTTTTGAAATGGCAGGCGGGACAACGCGAAAAGGGCGCAGCACACCGTTTGGTGCGCCAGGCAAAGACGCAAGAAAAGTTCAAGCGACACCACTACCACGCTCAGAGCGGGAGGTTGATTTCTGTTGCTCTCTCTCAGAGTGGAGGCAGCAGCAACAGCGACGGCGAAAGCTCGGGTGGCGTCATGGATTTTGCGTCTTCGCACCTGCATGAAAGCGAGCGAGGACGTGCGACAAACTTTTTGCTTCATTGCGGCGGCCGTACTGACGGAAGATCCACTCACGAGCGCTGATTCTTTTCTCCTCCCGCCCCCATTTTTTTTTTATTGCTGCCCATGGCGAAAGCGAAAGGAGCGGAAGAGGGAGGCGTGAGAGCGAACGGGAGGGG